GAATGCTGGCGGGAGGGAGGGATGGAGGGAGGCATGGGAGCAGGAGAAGGGGAGGGAGAGGCGGGGTGGTTTGGGATCGGTGCAAGGGCGCCCTGGGTCGCGGGAGCCAAGGCGGCCAGGCGCGCGAGTACCCTTCCCCCGAGGCGCGGAACGCCTTTCCGAGGGAGCTCTGGGAAGGGGTTCCATGAGCCGGGTGGATGGCCCACTTGGGGCCTCGGAGCATCAGCCGGACGGATGGCCCACTTGGGGCCCTGGACCAGTGCAGGGGTACTGGGTGCCCCGGTGTGATGTTCCATGAGCCGGGTGGATGGCCCACTTGGGGCCTGGGGGCGGCGAGGGGGTTGCGCGCAGGGCGTGCGAGGGTCGGGGGCGTGCATGAGCCGGATGGATGGCCCACTTGGGGCCTCGGGGGGGGCGGCCTCCAGGAGCCGGGTGGATGGCCCACTTGGGGCCTCGGAGCATCAGCCGGACGGATGGCCCACTTGGGGCCTGCATTCGGCCTCCGCGGAACAGCGTTCGGGAAGGGCTGCGCGCCTTCCCGGAACAGCGTTCGGGAAGGGCTGGCGGCGGAGGGAATGGGGAGGGGTGGGAGCGGGAGAGCACGAGGTTGGAAGAAAGGGGCAAATGGAGGGAGGGAAGGGGAAGGGGACGGGGGAAGGCGAAATAGGACAGGGGAGCTGGGGGAAGGGAGGGGGAGGGGGGGGGGAGGGATGAGGGAGGCAGAGTGCGAGAGAAAATGGGCGCGGTTGGCAGATGTAAGTAGCGGGCTAGCATCAGTGAGGCGCTGAACGACACTGGTGTGGGACGCGGGGCGACGACGACGACGACGACGACGACGACGACGACGCGGGGCGAAAAGGGGAGTGAAGGGAGAAAAGGGGAGGTGGCGGCGGAGGGGGCAAGGGGCTGCGCGGTGGGCGGAGGCAGGGGGAGGGCCAGCACGGGAGCGCGCACGGGGCAGACCAGGCGAAGTGGCCACTTCGGCGCCACAGAAAGGGCGCGGCGGTCGACGGGCACACCTAGGACGAGAAGGAGAGAGGGTGGCAGAACAGCAATTCCAAGGCTGCCCCTCGCAGACAATTTGGCTTCACTCGTGCGGCCTGATCCCGCTTCGAGGTGTCTCCATGTCGACGCGGTAGCGGGCCGTGGGCCGAGGCGACCGAACTGCTCCGAACGCTGGGCGGAAAGGCGTTCCAGAAATCTTGGAACGCCTCCCCGAAAGCCGTTCCATGCACCCTTTCGACGGCCCACCTTCTGGATGGCCCTGTTCGCCCCGCCTAAATGCCGTCACGGCGTGAGGCGAAAGTGCGGAAACGGTCCCGGCACGTCCCAGGAAGACCCCGAGACGGTTCAAGAGAGTTTTTGTTTTTCTCCATCTATCCTTCTGCCTCCTGTCGCTGTCCTTCCTCGTCCCTCCCGCACGTGTCTGCCAGCCAGCGTGACAGCGCGTGCATGCTGTTTCAAGGCGGCTTTCTCTTCGTGTTCCGTTACCTTCCTTCGTCCTGCACGTGCTCCGCCAGCTGGCGTGACAGCATATGCATTGAGTATCAATGCTCTGTTCCCTCCTTCCTCCGTCTTTCCTCGATCTTCCTGCAAGTGCTCCGCCACCCGGCGTGACAGCGCGTGCAGTATGTATCGGCAGTTTGCCCTCCGTCCTTTGGCATTCTTCGTTCCTTCTGCACGTGCTCTGCCAGCTCTATTTCAGGGCAGTGTTTGTCCCGTCCTCCGTCATTCCTCGCCACTTCCGCATGTGTTCGGCCAGACCGGCCAAGGAAATGTGAAAACATCCAAAGACTGGCAAATTACGGCCTCGACATTACATCAGAAAGCTGGTCAATGCCCCAAGGTTGTTCAGCGATCTCCCCGACGAGCCCGCAAGCCAGACTTGCGTGTCGTGACCATGATATGGCAACCCTGGATGGCGTCATTCGGGCGAAAGACACCTGCCCACCCCCCAAGACAGCGCCTAAACAGCCCGAGCGCCAGTCCAAGGAAGCCCTGCGACATCCCATAACTGGCCCAAGACGGTCACAGCCTTTCCCCGACAGCGAGTCACCCGCAAACCCCGACCTTTGTGATGACACAGGGCCATGGGTTGAGCTAGAACCTAAACGCGCGCGAAGCGCCTGCGTAGTGCTAGTTCAAATGTGTAAAGATACATGTACATAGATGTATACATTTATAATATATATGTATATACAAGACTGCAGTGGCGCTTCGCGCCATGCACCTTGGTCCTTGGAGTTTGGTATGCAGGCGGAAATTGCAGGAAGGTCAAGCCGACAATTTAGCAATGATTCCTTGCTACCTTTTCTGGCATCGCCGTTATAATAATGTGGTTCGTTGTCCTTCTTCCATGCTTATTGTTCTTCATTCTCGCCATACCCTGGGCATTCTCCCCATCCTCCTCAGCTCTTTTTGCGGAGGCTCCTCCTTGGAGAGCCTCTGGGGGCCTCACCAAAGTTCTCAGGCTTTCTTAAAGCCTTCTGGAGGCCTCCTGGGTGTGTTCTGGGAGCCTCTGGGGCTTCCTAAGGCCAACCTGCCTCTAACCGCGGTCTCCCTGAACGCCCCAGTCACGATTTGGAATGCTTCGGAGGGCGTCTTGGGGCCATCTTGGGCCGCCATGGTGCTCTCTTAGGGCCATTTTGGACCCCTGTTGTGCCGTTTTGGGGCTCTCTTGGACTGCCTGGAAGCCCTTTCGGATGGTTGTGGGGCGATTTTGGAGCCTCCCAGGCGGCTTCGGACGCCTAGGAGACCGCCGTCTTGGAGCGCCGGGAAGCCGAAAAGAGGAGAACCCCAAATGCACCAAAAACCTACATAGAATCAATGATTTTCCCTCTTGGGGCCTTCTTGGGGGTGCTCTTGGAGGCCTCTTGGTACGTTTTGGAACGATCTTTCGGGGTATGACGGCTTCTTGGAGCGCTCTTGTGCTGTCTTAGGGGTCTCTGGGACGTCTCCGGTGACCCCCCTGATCGCCCTGGGTGTGCTGCGAAGGCTTGGCAAAACTCCCTGCGAGGCCCAGGGGGCCGCTTCGACGCCCGTCTGGAGGGTCCCAAAGCTGCAGATCCCGGGGGTCTGGTTTTAGGGGGGGGACGGGTTCTCCCCCCGCCGGGGCTTATACAAATATAGGAAGAGGAGTATATATACTGTTTATATATACATATATATATAGGTAGAGAGATCAACCATGGATACAGATATGGTCGACAGAGAACACGTATTTTTGAATGTAAGTGAATCTCGGCATGATTGGGTCTCCCCTGGCAGATCCCCTTGGGATGCCCAAGTGCCATGCTTGCTACATCGCTGTCATCATGTAACTCTCAAAAGAGAGGAAGGAAACGGGGAAGCCACAACCAGCGTTTCGCATGAGACATCCCCACAGACTGGGCGCGAACGGGCCTGTGTAACATTCCCTGGCAGTTCCCCCCCCTTTGGGGATGTCCAAGTGCTGTGCCTGCTACATCGCTGTGATCATGGGTTTCGTAAGAGAAAGGATATGGGTCGCGCCAAAGCCAGCGCTTCGCCTCGGCTCTTGTAGCGTCCCAAGAGCGCCCCCTCGGGATGCGCAACCGACATGCCTGTTACATTGCGGTGATCATGGGGCCCTCAAGGTGGCGCCGGCACCAGCGTTTCGCTTGAGACATTCCCACAATTTGAGCGCGAACGGGCCTGTGTAACACCCTCTGGCGGCTGTCACTTGGATGCCCAAGCGCGATGCCTGCCACATCCCGATGTTCATGCGACGCGAGCGGGCCCGTGTAAAAACCCGCGGCGGACCCCATTTGGGATGCCCAAAACTGCTACATCGCGGCGATCACGGGGCTCCCACCAGAGAGGAGTCGGGGGCGCCGAGACCAGCGCCTCGCATGAGACGTCCCCAAAGCTGCGCGCAGGCGGGCCAGTGCAATACCTCTTGGCGGTTGTCCTTTGGGAGTCCTAAGTGAGATGCCTGCTATATCGTAGTGGTTAGAGGGCTTTCAAAAGCATCTGGCTCCGAGAAAGGCCATTCGATCCGACAAGTCCCAGCAACCTGCTCGCGAACGGGCCCGTGCAAGACCCCCTGACGGCTTCCCCTTGGGAGGGCCGAAACGCGATTCTCGCTACATCACGGTGGTCATGGGGCCGCACAAAAAGACGCGTACACTTCCGAACACGGCAAGTCCACTTGAGAGATCTCAGCAATTTTGTCGCGAAGGGTCCCGCGCAAAACCCTATGGTCGTTCCGTTTGGGGGAGGCCTAAACGCGATGCTTGTTACATCGCGGTGATCATCGGGCTGTGCAAAGAGACAGGTCTACTTCCTAAAACGACGATTCTACCCGAGAGTTCCAACCAATCTGGACGCGAACGGGCCCGTGTCATACCCCCCGACGGCTCCCTTTCTGGAGGCCGAGGTGCGGTGCTTGCTGCATGCCGATGAGTCTGAGTATGAGTGAGTCCTGGTGTGCGTGGTGAGCCTGAGTGTGAGTGAGTTTGGATGTGAGAGAATATGAGCATGAGTGAGTATGAGTGAGTGAGCCTGAGTGTGAGTGAATATGAAAGTGAGTGAGTCTGAGCATAAGTGAGAATGCGTGTGAGTGAGTCTGAATACGAGTCAATACGAGTGAGAGTAAGTATGTCTGTGTACGAGCGAGCCTGCGTGTGAGTGAGCCGCAGTAAGTTCGAGTCCCCGGATATGAGCCAGTCTGACCGTGAGTGTGTATAGGCAACGAGGCGGGTGAGTGAAGGAAGGGGGGGCGTGACATCATTAACAAGAGTCACAGACCTCTGATTTAAGGGGAAAGAAGCAATCCCATGCATGTTATGTTATGTCGATGCTTCTCCTTCCAGGAACGTGTGCCACGGGAGGGCCCCGGCATGAGCTTTGACGGATCAGTGTCCGTGAGATGTTTGCATTGGAAAATCGCGTTAAATACCAGACTACGTCCCGTCATTTTCATGATGTTGCCGTCAGGCTGATTCGAGCCCCCAAATTCGAGTCTTACGTCTCCCCGAGAGGATCGTGTGCCACAAGAGGCAGAACGTGGTCGTGAGCATCAAGAGCCTGGCGGTTCCTGTCGAGACGGCGCTGTTCCAGGCCCGCGTGGCGGAGGGCGACTCGACGAAGCTCTCGGGTGCTCGGGGGAGCAAGGAGTCATGAGAATGATGCGCTCACAGGTTTCTAAGATCTCCTGGGCGGCCTTGGGCTACCGTGCCTCCCCAGACATGCGACGTCTTGATTTTTTCAGGACGGCGTCCCCGGAAGTCCCGGCCCTTTCCCCGGGGCCGGTTTTTCGTCCTGAGTCGTTTTTTGACGGTCCCGAGGCCCGGCGAGGGCCCCCCGAGGCCGAAAATGGGCAAAAACCTCCCATCATGATTTTTTAACGACGCGATCATGTCTCTGGGTCTGCCCCCCCTGACGTGCTGGCGCCCTCGCGCTGCGAAAATGCCTCAGGGTCCCGCGGGCCCGCTGGCGGGCGGAAGCGGCGCGCTCCGCTCCGCTCCGCACCGGGCCACGGGACCGCCACAAAATGGGGAGCCTTTTGGCGCGGCACAGACGGCGTCGGACGTCTGCCCCCGCCCCCGATCTGCCTCGCCCGCCGCTCCCCTCCCCGCTCCGCGCGGCTGCTCTCCACGCAGAGCCGCCCCCTGGTAGACAGCCGAAAACAAGAATAGCTTCCCGTCGAGGCGCCGCGCACACAGTATCTATTAGTATCTATTTTTTAGAAATAGACGCTTTTAGAAATTATCGTAAGGCCCGCCGCTCCGGCCGCATCGGGTCCGGTGCCAAGCGCCCGGGCGCGCCTGCTCCGCCCCCGCCCCCGCCCCCCCCCACACTCCGCGAGCTTCTCCTTGCGGCGACCCGGGGCTCGGGTCGGCTGCATATGCAGGAGCCTGGCATCGCTCGGACGTGTGCATTTTTTCCTCGGCGAGAGCCATCGACCCAGACCCCCTCGAGTCATGAAAAAATCACGACGGAAGGTTTTTCCATATTTTCCGCCTCTCGGGGCCCTTACCGGCCCTCGGGACCGTCAAAAAACGACTCAGGATGAAAAACCGGTCCCGGCGAATAGGTCCGGACCTCTGGTGGTCGCGTCGTGAAAAAATCATGACGTCGGGTGTCTGGGTCGAGGACCACCCTGGACCATCGAGCAGCAAAAACACGCACGGAGCCGAAGAACGCACAGGAAATGGACGTCCGAGCGATGGCAAGGGCAGTCGATGCTGCGGCAGCGGCTTGCGCGCCTGCGTTCGGCCCATGGCGCCCACCCGAGGCCACGCACCAGAGGCCGCTCTTGCCTATCGGGTCGCTCTTGCGCGTGGCCGACCGGGGCCGCGCGGGCTCCGCGATAGGGCCGCGTGCTGGCCCCAGAAGTCCTGGAACGTTCCCTGAGCCATTCGCATCAGGACGAGTCGGGAGCGAAAACGACCATCACCGACACGCTGCTGTACGCGTCAGCATGCCACTCCTTGGCCTCGTGTCCGAAAGCGCGCCTCTTCGACAAAAAAGCACGCCGATGGGCTCCGCACGGCGGCGTGGCATTGATCCTGTTGCTGCCACCCCGGAATCGCCACCGTCCCAGGTGCGGGCATCCACCTGGAGATGCTCGGCGGCGAGGACGAGTTCGCCTTCCTGTCGACGGATGACGTCTGGGCCAGCCGGGGGGCGCGCCAGCCCGAGATGGAGATCAGGAAGGTGTCTGGGGAGAAGTATGCGACCATCAGGAATCGGGGGTCCCCAAACGGGGTGGTGAGCACACCGTGCGGTGAGTCGGTGGGAATTCGGGGTCGCCGCACGGTTTTGGGACTCGGGTCGTTCTCCAAGGACGTCTCGGGCGACAGTGCGACGACCCAGTCCCAAAAACCGCGCGACTTAGACAGTGCGGTGACGGACAGCGCGACTTCTCCGAGGTCCCAAGACCGTGCGGTGACGGACAGTGCTGTAGGTCTTGAGAGATTTCGAGGTCACCGCACGGTCCGTCACCGCACCGTTTCGGGACTCCAACAGGAAGACCGACAACACGACTTACATCATGGCGCGGGGGGCAGATACGCTGATGGTCTTCAGCGGCCGCTTCTCGAGGCACGAGCTGCAAGTGTGCTGCGCCGCGGGCCAGATGGTGGCCACGGTGACCCCGAGCAGCTCTAAGGCCATGTACGAGGTGGTTGTTTACACCAACGCAGACGCAGGGCTGATCATTCTCGGCTTGCTCGCGATCGACAAGGTGGAGGTCGCGCCCACGTAGGAAACTTCTACGTGCGAATTAGCTATCCTTCTGGTCGGGCCCCGCCATAGAGCCGAAGCAGCCAAGCGAAGGCGAAGGCAAATGCTGCCAGGATGCTGGATGCCCATGGCGCGGCTGGCCTGGGCGAGAACTGGATACACTCTCGGGCGCTGGGCCGCTCTATGGCCGGGCAGACCAGGCGTCCGCATGTGCATCTGGAGCGTGGCCTCCGGATGGTCCACGCGTGACTCCAGCCACGCGTGTGCTCTGGCCTCCTGGTGGGCAAAGGCATGGGCCAGGTGTGCGTGCCGTTTGTCCGCTCGCCTCCCTGCGAGCTGCTCGGTGCCCACGGGTTGAACAAGGCACGAGACTGGTGTCACCGAGCGCGTTCCACTACTCGCAACGTGCCTCCTCGCAAACGCCCGACAAAACACGTGTCTGCTTCGATGTGATGTGCTGTAGATCCCCCGCGGCGGATCCAGGCCACTTGCGAGAGAAGCTGCTTTGCGAGTAGTGGAGCGCGCTCGTCTATGGTCCGGGGTGCCGACCGAGAATTCGCCTGAGCACTTCCAGGAGCGTGGCGAGTCCTGGGCGGGCGTGTGCCCGGCGCAGCGATTGGGCGTGTTCTGAGCCCATACCCTCAACCTGCGCGAGGGCAGGCCCCCGTGGCAGCAACCGTGCGCCGTACAGAAAATCGCGCCAGGCATTCGGGCCGTTCCCCCTCGTTGCCCACTTCCTCTCGGGGGTGGACAGACCTCCTGCCCTGACACGTCGATAAGCGCATTGGCCGTTTTCGGTTCGCGAGAGGGCGTCGCGGCCGTCATTCTTGCGGGTCCAGGTCCGTCGGTTTCGGCCCCAGGCCGTTTTCACTAATGGGTGGTTTATTAAAGGGAGGTTTGTCCACCGCCGATCCTCACGCTCCCACGCGCTGGAGGCAATGAGCTCACTGAAAGCACAGATTGTTCTGGTGAGGCATTTGTCTGGCCCTGAGGTGGGTTCTTGCTTTCAGTGAGCTCATTGCCGCCATCCCGTTATAAGCATGCCGTCGCAGAAATGTACGCCGTCAGTCACCATCGTCATCGTCATCAGCACCATCGTCATCATCCTCCCGCCCGACGTGGCCTCTCGCACCATCACCATCGTCATCATCATCATCATCATCCTCATCATCAGCATCAGCCATACCTCCCGTCATGGGAGGGTTTGAGCGCAGCGGGCCCCGTCGGCTGCGCCCCAACATTGCCCCGAAAGCTCCCAGGAGGCTTTTTTCCTTACAGGTAACTCCTCCCTGTTGCACCCCCAGACGTGTCGGTAGGACGGGTCGGGCTTTTCGCCTGAGCTTTCCTCACCATCTGTGGTCCTGAAGTTTGAACCGTACAACAGCTTCACCAATGGAGGGCTGCTGGTTCTTTTCATATTGCGTTTCTCACCTTAGCGCCGCGCACATTCGTTTTGAAAGCGTGCAACAACTTCACGGATGGAGGGCGGGTGTTTTCAAAATGTGGTTCCAGCTTCTAGCGCCGCACATATTCGTTTCGAAAGTTCGCAACAGCTTCATTGATGAAGGGTGGGACATCTTTAAAGTGTGTTTATCACTGTAGCGCCGCGCACCTTCGTCTTGAAAGTTTGCAGCAGTTGCCAGGGCTCGCCTAGGTGAAGTCCCAGGAACGGTGTGTTGGCACAATTGGGGATGGTCAGGATGCAACATTCACGTTGCCTTGTGGCGTTGAAGTCCCAGGAATGGTTTTCTGCACGGCTTAAAAATGTCAGGACGCAACCTTCACGATGATTCGCGGCGCTGGAGTCCCAGGAATGGCGTTTTGGCGCCATTGAGATTCTCGGACGAGCGTAATCAAATGGGACACTTCCCACAATGAAAACACTTGTAGGAACCTATGAAGAGGGATCTTGGAGGGAGGGTTCATTGCAACATTGTTGATGCGTCTCGGGTTCAAATTGGTCCTCCTCCACCTCGTCTTCCTCATCTTTCCACTCATGCTGCTCCTCCTCCTCCTCCTCCTCCTCTTCCTCCTTTTTTCCATAGCCATTAAATCGCGTAGCGATTCGGGGGGCAGGAAAATCTTCAGGAAGGCCTTTGTGGGCTTCTTGGCTTCTATGCCTCTAGGCTTCCTTCCCTCTCACAACCTGGGCGCCTCTAAGGTGCAGCGGGTGGTATCTCACAGCCTTTCGCTGCAGTGCGGCAGGCGGGGTCTTACGGCCGTGCGCTGCGTTGCAGCAGGTGGTTCTCACGGCCGTGCGCTGCGTAGCAGCAGGCGGTTCCTCCTTTTCTCCTGCCGGTTGGTTGGTTGATTGGCGTGCCCTGGGCCACGCGCTCCGCTGCGCCGTTCCTGGGATGCTGGAGCGGCGGCGGCGTCGCAGGGAAGGCTGCGCGGGTCCAGCGCCCATCGCCGTTCCCAGGCCGTGCGCTGCAGGGCGAGGTCCACGCTCGAATCGGGCTCGCAACCCACCCATTCCCACCCCTGTGGCTGCGCATTTGTTGGGCGGCGCCTTGGCCAGGTTGGGCCCTGGTGGATTTCCAGTCTGGCCCAACCTGGCGGCGCCAAATATTTCAGCTCGCCCATTGTCGGCGCGAAGGCGTCGCCCAACTTCACGGTCGCATGACCGAACGCAGAAGATGTTTCTCTTCCCCAGTAGTCGGTAAGTCACTAAGGGATGCAGCCTGAACCTCACATGCCTAGGGAAACCGATGGCGGACTACCGAGGGCACTTGAGCAGCCCAGTCCCGATCTGGAGCCGGTGTTGGTGGGGACAGAGGTCGGCCACATCGTAAGCAAAAATCGAATCGGAGGATCAGTTTGCGTGACGTCACGTGCCTATGTGGCGTCACGTGCCTGTATCATCCACGACGGAAACAGAGTTGGGAGATCAAACAAAAATGATATGATCCAATGAAACACGACATAGTTGGGGGCGGTCACCCCCCAAGTTCTTGCAATCAAGAACCCTCAGCGCGACAAAGCCAGGCCAGGGGCCCCCTCCACCTTGGCACTGCAAGTGAACGTGCCGCCCACTCCCCAGTCACAAGATTAAACGATGCCGGCCTCGCTCACAGAGAATACAGCCAGAGACATGGGTGCCGCATGCTGCGCACGCCCCAACATGGCCCAAGCACACAACCGTACCAGGGAGCCGGGCGGTAGTTGTTTTCTTATTCGTTGTTTTGCCTGTCGGCGCGGACCCTCGCCCCTCCCCTCCCTCCCCCCCATGGAATAGATCTTGGCTGTTTGGGGCGCCTGTTTCGAGCAGGCGGAGCCTCCCCCATAGGACGCACTGTTGCAAACGGTCACGTTCAGTGGAGGTCCGGAGCCAGGCCCCCCCCCTCGCTCTCCCTTTTTCCGCCCCACGTCGAAACGTCGGTTCAGAGAACGCTCACATGCGCATGATGTGGCCGGCTTGGGCGAGAATCGGATACAAAGGTGGCTAGGTGTTTTTCCAGCGCTCGGTCCTTCTCTGGCCTGGCAGGTTGGGCTTCTGCATGTGCAGCCAGCGCGTGGCCTCTTGATGTTCCACGTGCGAATCCAACGAGCTGTGTGTGAGTGTGTCTCTGCTGCTGCCTGGTAGAACAGCATGATTTGTTCACGAAGGTGTCGCGGCAGTAGGTGCCGCGAAAATCGCGTTCGCAGATTCAAGAGGTCTGATGAACCAATCTCGCGAAGTCACGACCACGCTGCCCAGGAATCATGGGTCGAAGGGGATATAATTACCCCCGTAGAGCACCCTAATAGCAGTAAAGGAGACGAGATGGGTCGAGGAGTACGAGGTAGGTTAGCGAGAACGTGCATTCTCATATATTTCGAGGCATGTCTGATAAAAGCATTCGAAGTGCGGTAGGGTGTTTACTTTGGCTTCAGAGGCACGCGGAAGTAAAGCTCTGGCAACACGAACAGCCGGAAGTGCGGCAGAGTGTCTTCGTTTGCGTCAGATCTGTATGCGGGAGCGAAAATCTCGCACCACAATGGCAAAAAGAGCACCGCGAGCATGGCCACGTGCATCTTAGTGTACGTTTTACTATGTACCGTGGCCGCTCGGACCAAAAACGTAGCGACACTAAGGCGAAAACGCGACTGCTGAATACATTGTGAGGAAGTCTTTGGTGAGACCGACCCCGGACCAGGCGTCCTCAGGCTCCCCGGCCCCTGTGCGGGACTCTTCTGTGGGACTTCGCCTGGCTTGTAGAGTACCCCTTGTGCACCCTTATATTGTGCTTTTGAATGAGATCGTGGCCGTCCCGTCCCCCCTGTGGTAGCCGGTATCGAGGCGAGAACGTGTTTCGAAAGGTAATGAAGACACGTATCCAACCCCTTCTCCACGCGAGGCGAATCTGGCCTGGACGCTCCATGCGAGAACACATCGCCAGGTATATGCACGATCCGCGCTGCCCTCACCTCCGCCGTGCCTCCCACGCGCCCACGAGCGCGGCGACAACTGCGCACTTCCCAGCCTCCCAGGGAGTCGCGAGGTCTCGGATGGATCCGCGTGGTCCCCGACTCCGCTGGACCTCCCAGGAGCCAGCGAGATTGGAGACCACTGCACGTCTCTCGGCACTCCAAGGAGCAGCGAAGCCTCGTCTGGGTGCGCGTGGCCCCCGACTCCGCCGGATCCCCCAGGAGCCCAGGAGAGCGGCCACAAGTGCGCAGTTCGCAGCCACCCAGGGAGCAGCGAGGTCTCGCCTAGGCGCGCGTGGCCCCCAACTCCGCTGGACCTCGTGGTGACAATGCGCAGCTCACAGTCACCCAGGGAGCAACGAGGTCTCGTCTGGGCGCGTGGCCCCCGACTCCGATGGACCTCCCAGGAGATCAAGAAAGTGGCGACAATTTTGCTCAGTTCGCACCGCCCCAAGGGATGATCAAGGTCTCGTCTGGGCGCACGAGGCCCCCGACTCAGCTGGACCTCCCAGACGCCCACGACAGTGAACCCAATTGCACAGATCGCAGCCACCCAGGGAGCAGCGAAGCCTCGGCTAAGTGCGCGTGGCCCACGGCCCCTCCGTGCCTCCCTGAAGAGCCCACGAGAGCGGCAACAGTTGCGCGGAGCTGCGAGGTCTCGGATGTGTTCGCGTGGCCCCCGACTCTGGTGGACCTCCCAGGAGCCCATGCTAGTGACAACAAGTGCACAGTTCGTACCACCCAGGGAGCAGCGAGGTCTCGTCTGGGTGCGCGTGGCCCCCGACTTTGCGGGATTTCCCACGAGCCCATGAAAGCGGCGACAATTCCGCAGTTCGCAGCCACCCAGGGAGCAGCGAGGTCTCGTCTGGGTTTGCATGGCTCCCGACTCCTATGGACCTCCCAGAAGATCACGAAAGCCGTTCGCACCGCCCCAGGTAGTTGCGAGGTCTCGTCTGGGTGCACGAGGCCACCGATTCCGCTGGACCTCCCAGACGCCCACGAAAGTGGATACACTTGCACAGTTCGCAGCCACCCAGGGAGCAGCGAAGCCTCGGATGGGTACGCGCGGCCCACTACCCCTCCGTGCCTCCCAGGAACCTACGAAAGTGGCGACAATTACGCTGTTCGCAGCCACCCAAGGAGGTGCGAGGTCTCGGCTGGGTCTGCGGTTTGCGTAGACCCCGACTCTGGAGGACCTCCGAGGAGCCAACGAAAGTGACAACAAGTGCACAGTTCGCAACCACCCAGGGAGCAGCGCGGTCTCGTCTGGGTGCGCGTGGCCCCCGATTCTGCCGAACCTACCACGAGCCCATGAAAGCGGCGACAATTGCGCAGTTCGCAGCCACCCAGGGAGCAGCGAGGTCTCGTCTGCCTGCGCGTAGCCCCCGACTCCGCTAAATACGCCGGGAGCCCACGAAAGTGGTGCCAGTCGCGCAGTTCGCAGCCACCCAGGGAGCAGCGGGATCTCGTTTGGGTCCGCGTACTCCGCTACTCCAGCCTCCCAGGAGCCCATGAAAGTGGCGACAGTTGCGCAGTTCACGGCCCCTGCAGACATCCATGCAACATGCACGTGATTGTGAGTTGGAGTACTGAAGCCACTTGGGGCTCAAGAAATGTGCCATCGAACCACATCAGCATGGTAGCGCGGAGCGTGGTTCCCTGACCGCGGAGCCTGCCTGCCTCGGCCATGGAGGAGGCCCTCCGACTGATGGAGGCCAGGCTGACTGCGGCGGAGCAGCAGATCGCAGAGAGGACGGCCGAGCTCACGGAGGCCAAGCGGGTCATCGACCAGCTGAGCACCGCGGCGCCCGCTGCAGCTGGAGCCGCGGCCGCGCCTCAGCAGCCTAGCCGAGGCGAGAGCTCTCTCGTGGACACGAGGGCTCTGGGCAAGCCGCCGCTGTTTTCAGGCGACCTGACGGCGGACGGCAAGCCAGAGGGAGGTCTGGCGTGGCCGCAGTGGTCATTCACCTTCAGGGCCTACGCTGGCGCGTTCGACCCGACCTGCAGGGACGCGCTGGAGTACGCAGCCAACAAGGTCGACGACGAGCAGCAGATCAGCAATGTGACGATGGACCTGAACGACAAGAAGCTCTCGTCGCAGATCTACTACGTGCTGGCACTCACGTGTCGTGGGCGAGCGCTGTCGGTGGTGCAGCGCGTCCCAGAGGGCTGGGGCGTCGAGGCGTGGAGGCAGCTGTGCCGCGAGTTCGAGCCCAGGCTGCCGAGCCGCTTCCAGGGCATGCTGCAGAGGCTGCTCGACCCTGTGCGAGGCCCGGACATGTTGGAGAGCATCTACACTTGGGAGCGCCAGCTGAAGGTCTACGAGGAGCAGTCTGGCGACCAGATGGCTGACTCGATCAAGCTGGCGACTTTGACCAACAAGCTCTTGGATGGCCCCCTGAAGACCCACGTCAACCTCCAGGTAGGCCGCCTGCAGACGTACGAGGCTGCGAAGGCCGAGGTGATCTCGTACCTTCGCGCGACGGCCAACCAGGAGGAGGAGCCAGTACCCATGGAGTTGAACCCTGTGACTGGAGAGCTGTGCCCTATGACACGGGGCAAGGCCGGCAAAGGCAAAGGCAAGGACAAGAGCGGAAAAGGAAAGAGCCACGACGGAAAGGGTAAGAACAAGAAGGTCTGCTTCTACTGCGCCAAGCCGAACCACACGAAGCAGGAGTGCAGGATCTTAGCGAAGGACCGAGCAAGCAAGGACATCAAGCCAGACAAGTCTGGACGCTACGCAGGCAAGCCAGTCGACAAGATCACAGGCAAGCGCCTCGAGAGCGAGAATGGCGACACGGCGGCGTTGACGGCCCTGTCTGACGACGGCTACTACTACGACGAGCAGGATGGCTTCGTGTTCGCGCTGATGGAGGGCGAGAGCTCCAACGAGATCGAGACGGGTTACTGTTACGCCCTCGAGGGCGCCGACTTCGACCTGCTCTTTGACACGTGTGCTGCAAGGAGCGTCTGCCCACCCTCGTGGGCGCCTGAGGTGGCCATCAAGGAGTGCCGTGGGACGGTGCTCTACCAGGCCGACGGCAACGAGCTTAAGCACTACGGGAAGAAGGAGGTGAGCATGACGGATCAGAACTCTGGCGAGCCGCTGACAGTGAGCTTCGAGGCCAAAGGGGTGCGCAAGCCGATCATGGCAGCGAGTTCTGCAGTTGATGCGGGCTACGGTGTGTGGCTGTACGACGGAGGGAGCTACATCGTGAAGCCCGAGCAGGCGAAGGACTTGGC